TCCCTACATGGCTCTCCTGCATGGCCCTTGAATCCTCTCTATGCACTCACTCATGATCTCTTCCTCCTCCTGTCTGCGTTATGCTGTGCCTCCTTCTTCCCTTGATGGATGGGACACCCTTCCATGCCATGTCACTCAGGCACTCAAATGAAAGCTGGGGGCTCAGTATAACCAACTGTGAAGGACATAGCAGCCATACAAACAGGAATGATTTTTCAGGAGAAAGCTCAGCTTTGTGACTGTAATGCCTCCTTGTAGCCCTATCTTCTTCCCACCTCCCTGGGTCTGCCAGTCCATGCTGGTATCTGTAGATTTTCACACTGCCTTTTGCTGTGTGTCACCCCAAAGCAGCCCTTTCCCCCCTGAGCTCCCCAGATGTGCTGGGCACAAGGGACTCCAGCACCTGCTACTCCTGCCATGGTGTGTGATGGAATCCCAAAGGGCCACCCCAGCAGGAAAGGATCGATTGTGGATAGTTAGCATCAGTGCCCCTTCTCCAGCACCAGAATGTCCACCACTTGCATACCCGTGGCTCCTGTCTGCTCTGACAGCTGCTGGGGCAGGGGAGGCAGTGGGGACACTGGTGTGACGTGCTGCCTGCTCGCCCAGGTGCTGGCAGGGCTGCACTTCCTGCACAAGCACTGCCGCATCATCCACACGGACATCAAACCGGAGAACATCTTGCTGTATGGACGTGACAAAAGCCTCCAAAGGCTCCTCACAGATATGCTTGACTGTGGCCAGAGAAGAGATGTGAGGCTGAAGGGAGCAGGTGAGCATTCCAGGTGGTTTGGGCTTTTTTAACAAAAGGGACTTATGTGTTTATTATTAAGGAACAGAGACCTTAGGAAGGTTTCCATCTCCTGTAACAGCCAGTACAAAACAGTACAGTCACCACATGCTGCTGAGAGGCCTCTCCTATCTCTGCTTAACACAAACATCAGGCTGAGCAGCTATGAGCGAGGCACCTGCAGAAGTGAGGTCTTGCAGGTGGGTTTGTGTGGAGGACTGTGCTGGTTTGAAAAGCAAACCGGTGAGAGACTCTGAATCAGAAGTACAATTTAATATGAACAACACAACAAAACAACACAAATGCAACAGTACAAAAAAAAAAGTAACCTGACAGAGCCAGAAAGTAACCTGACACCCTGTCAGTCAGGGTGTAGTAGTAGTCCCATTAAATGGTGGCTGCAGTCCTTCTGGAGTGATGGGTTTGTTGGAGAAGTGATCCCACAGATCTGGTTCTCTCCTGAAGGTCCAGCAGCAGCTCCAGTCCTCTGGGAATCCAGCAGGCAAAGGGCTCCCTGTGCTGGTCCAAACCCCGGCTTATATCCCTGTGAGCATGTTTGGCTCCCCACCCCTGGGGTGAGTCACCTCACCATGGGACAAGGCAATAAGGATCACTGGGAGGATGTCATGCATAGGTCCTTGACAGCCCGTTAGTCAGAGACAGCCCCAAGAGGGAGCCATCAGGATTGCCCTGAGGGAGGGACAAGGTGATAACGATCACTGCCCCACCTGCTTTAACAGCTTGTGGAGATGATAATAGAATACGTACCATGGATACCCCCCACACTGCAACCCAGGACAAGGACAACTACAGGTCACAGGCATCTGTTAAGAGCTCCACCACGACCTCAGAACTCACTCTCATGGCTTTAGGTGCAGGACAGTTCCCTCTGTCTGGTGTTCTCAGCCACTGAAAGGCTTACATACAAAACCAGTGTGACCAGAAAGCTGTATGACACTTCTGCTCTTTATTTCCCATATTTCTGAGGTTTGTGGGAGACTTGTATGTACTGCTAATCTTCAAGGCCTTCTGAGACATAATTTATTTGCAGAGAATGGTGTGAATATTGAATAAGATGTAGAGCTGGAGAGTTTCTCAAGGGATTAGCTCATCTCGCAGCCATGAGACCTTTCATATTATCCTTGCACTGTGTTCTCCCGTGAGCATTTCTCCCATGACAGTGCTGTTTTGTCTCTCAAACTCGGGGCAATCAGGGAATGCTAAATTAGTGACTGAGTGTTTTGCTTGGAGCAGAAATGCACAATATTACACGTAGGCTGAGAGTTCACTGTAAAGCAGTAAACCAGGAACTATCCTTTTCTGGGGTCATATGAAAATGTAACCTTCACAGAGCTTGCCAAGCAGGCTGTGCCCAAGGTCTGTGACAGCTGGGGCTGCTGAAGGCTGAGGAGTTAACAGATGTTTTGGTTCTGACTAGTGCTGGTAGGATGTGCTCTCCTCTGGGCCCATAGTAATTTAACCCTGGTGTTAGTGGAACCTAGCAGGACAGGAGTACATGGGCACACCATTCCACTCAAAGCTGCTGTCCTGCATCCTAAGTTTTTACTGGATACCAGCCCTTCCTTTGTATTTCCTTAAAAAAACAGAAGTGGCATTTGATTGATGATAAAAAGCATTTTAGGAAATTTTAGGCCGAGAAACTTTAAAGGAAGGCAGACATGCCTCTCCTGGAGTAAGTGATGTGTACCTGTTGGTTCAGACCCAATTTCTCTCCCTTCCATCCAGGAAATGATCTTGGCAATCAACTGGAAGAATCTGATTTAATGAGCTTAGAAGTGAAAATTGCAGATCTGGGCAGCGCATGCTGGACAGTGAGTCTGCTCCTAATCTCAATCCCATGACAACACAGGATGCTGTGTACTTCTTTCCACCCCACCCTGTGTGTCTGTCCCTTCATGGCTGAACAGCTATTTCAGTGTGCTGAAGAGATGCTGATTTCAGGGGGTGTCATATTCAGCACTCCCAGCTCCAAGCTGGGCACTGTGCTCTAGGAGACAGTCAGTTTTGGACATTTCTCCAGCTTACAATTACTCCCTATAATCAGAAATTCAAAGCCATATTCAGCATGAAATGCTGGTACATAGATTTCCCCTGGTGTTAGTGGGGCTGGGAACGTGCCCTGCACAGCGCTGAGAACACACAGTCCTGTCCCGTGTCCCCTCGCTGTGCAGGAAGCTTGTGACCACCAGCATTGATGTGACTGATTTATGGACACCAACCAAAGGGGATTTGTTTCTCTTTCAGTACAAGCCTCTTTCCAAGGAGATACAGACTCAGCCGTACCGTGCCCTGGAAGTGCTTCTTGGATTAGACTACGGCACTCCTGCAGATATCTGGAGCACAGCCTGCCTGGTAGGGCTGGGGACAACACTCGGCATGCAGGGAGGTGACAGACACTAACAGGCCAGAGCAGCATGTCCTTGGCACCCACATATTAATTGAAAGCAAAGCTGCTTTGCTGAGAAGGTAAAAGGGGCTGCTGGCACTCTTAGGCTTTGGGGCCAAAGTGTGGCTGCTGGTAAAATCCACTCCCAATTAGTTTAAGCTCTAAGGCAGTTCACACTCCTTAGCTCTGTCAGCTCATTTCCATATTTTAGGATCAGTTTTGTGTAATAACAGGAGAAATTGGTACTACCAGTTAATGAAGAAGGAAAACTCCAAGCCCAGTTAGCGAATTAACAATGCTACTCCATTTCCAGGCGTTTGAAATGGCAACTGGGGAGTGTCTGTTTGATCCTCAACCTGGGAAATACTTCTCCAGAGATGATGGTAGGACTCCATCAGTTTTGTTCATTTCACTGACATGTCACAGTCTTTGTACCTGAATGTGCTGACTCTTTCTCCATCTAGATCATGTTGCCCGTATTATTGAACTCCTGGGCAGAATTCCTCCTCAAATTGCTTTCTCATGGAACAAGTCAACAAAATTTTTCAGCAGGCCAGGTAAGAACTGTAGTAAGAGAGTTTACTTTAAAAATCCCTGTGAATCTGATACACTCCTAACTCAGCTCACACTGAAACTCCCCAAAAGTTATGTTACACAATGCAGGCCACAAGCAGGGATGGAGCTCAAGCAGGGAGTTCATGAAAAGCAGGAACACTCCCTGCCCTGCTACCTCTGCAATCCATGAGCATTCCACGGATGAATGCAAAATCCTGAAAAACGGTCACAGCAAACACCCAACAGGGAAAACATTTCCATTCTTTCTCCTTGGGAGAGAATGGAAATACAGACAGGAAACAGCCACATGCCAGGAAGGCTGGAGAGTGTGTAACTGGCTGGATTTCACCCCTTCACTGGCAGAGAACAATGATGACCAGGACACTCATATCCTTCCAAAGTGTCTGCTATATTTAGCCTCCTGATCCAACTGTAATCTCTCCTCTGTTTTATTCTCCCCAGTTCCTTTCCCTTTGACTCATTAGTCCTGAAATCCTTGTCTTTGACCACAAGGCATCACATGACTCCATCCTGCTGCAATTTGCTCTATCATCCTGTTTTCTCTGCTCACCAGCCCCACAGTCTCAGCCCACCCACAGCTCGTGCAGTGCTGAGCACTGGTCCCATGCTGGAATTCAGCAGGCACCTCCCTGCACATCTACATTCTTTGCTCACACACTTATTCCTTCTATGGTGCTCAAAAGAAATGAGTCAAACTAGTTCCACATTCACTCCCAACCTGGAGTGACCCAGCCCGGCCTGACCACACACACCTAACCCAAATCACTGCGTTTGCACTCCTGGGGATGAGGGAAGCTCCTTGGTCAGTCACACACTCTGCTGGGAAGCACAAAACAAATTCAGCATTAGTGTCTCGCAGGCTCTGGCACTGAAACAGGCAGATGCATCCGGGTGCCTGTGGGCAGGCACGGGGAACAAGCAGCAATGGCTATTCTGGGAACACTCTGCGCTCTCTTGGCGTGTTCTCCTCTAAGTATCGCAAGCGGGGAGGCTCCAAACGCTACCTTAGAAAGGTAGTGGAGCCAAACCCGCGAGGGGCAGCGCAGGTGCAGCTCACAGAGTCGATTCCAAGGCGAAGACAGAGATTTTTCAGGACGTTTGGGGTTACCCCCGCGAGGGGAGCGCGGCAGCCTCAGCCGCGCGGGTGTGACTGAGGCGCTGTGCCCACGCTGTCTCCCCCAGGCGCTCTCCTGCGGATCTCGCGGCTGT